CCACACCTGGGTCTGTTTCGCCGACCTGTTTTTACGGTGAGCAAGGGTCGGTACCGCTATCCTTTGGGTTGGCACTAGAGAGAACCGCAGGGACAGTCGCTCACGGAGCCGCAGGTTCAGATGTTCAGTGCAATCACAATTCAGAGTGCGTACCAGCCAGAACCGCAGGGACAGACGCTCTCGGAGCCGCAGGTCCGGATGTTCAGCAAACACACGCCCACCAATTCGCCGTAGTAGGAACCGCAGGGACAGATGCTCACGGAGCCACAGGTCCGGATGTTCACGGCTTCCACAGCTCAGAGTTGGCACTTGTAAGAACCGCAGGGACGGATGCTCACGGAGCCGCAGGTCCGGATGTTCAGTGCAAACACACCCACAACGCAGAGTCCGCCGTAATAGGAACCGCAGGGACAGATGCTCACGGAGCCACAGGTCCGGATGTTCACGGCTTCCGCAGCACAGAGTTGGCACTTGTAAGAACCGTAGGGACGGATGCTCACGGAGCCGCAGGTCCGGATGTTCAGTGCAACCTTGTCGCAAATGGAACACTCACAACGCCAAACGAGAAAACCAGTAGCTTCAGCAGGCTCCCAAAAATCGGGGCTCGTTGGGATCACGGGTCGGCTCGATGGCCTCGATATGGAGGGGTTTCGAGTGATAGGTCGCAGAGAAGCTCTCGATGGCACGAACAAAAAGAAGCCCTCAACAACCCAGAACTCGATCAGACAGAAAGAGAGCGCACCCTCTACCTTCTCGCAAAAACGGGAACGAACATGATGCGCGAACACGGAGGACGCATAGGCGACGTAGCGCGCTGCTTGGGTGGTAACATGGTGACCCCCCCAGTAGACCCCGCAGCCGTCAGAGACTATTTCGGAAGGCGGAAGGGGTTTCCACAAATCGAAGAACTGATGACTATCATTACGGGGGGCGTGCCGGTTATCACCGAGACCTCAAGCACAGACTTAGAGCGTGCGCTGCGTTACGGTAATCACTCCTCAGCAGACGGACACCTGCCGTTACTTTGGGAAAAACTTGGAAACGATGTACGCAGGGAAAGGTGCCTGGTGTTGGAGAAAACTTCAGCTCACGAGATCCCTAACCTTAGAGTCTCGCCTGTCGGGGTGGTGGTGACGCACAAGCCTAGAGTGATTAACGACCTCTCGTTTAACCCAACAGACAGAACAACAAAGGGGGGTCTCAACGCAGACACTAATGCAGATACCATTCCGCCGTGCCTGTGCGCCGGAGCCTTGCCCGGTTTCCTAACCGCGTTAGTCAGCCTGCGAGCCAAATGCCCGAAGCTACGCCTGCTCATGGCCACCACCGACGTGAACGATGCCTTTCGCAACGTCCGGATAAATCCAGACCAAGCACACAACTTTGGCTACACCCTAGGAGACTTGCTGGTGGTGGACTTGAGACTCCCGTTTGGGTGGACGGGATCCCCTGGACATTTCGGAGTCACGGCGTCGGCGGCTGAACACGCACACCGCAATACCAACCTAAGCACGGCACAAATTCTTCCAGAAGGAGTAGACATGATGAAGCATGTGAAGATTGTGGATAGGTGGGAAGAGGGAGAACCCACGCCGGTACCCAGCGATGTCGTCATTCGGCCGAGTACAGGGGGCGAGCTGAACAGCCCTTTCGAGACTTGGGTTTATGTCGACGATCACGCACTGCTCAGAGCACAACTTTCCGATACCGACCGTTCTGCCTTGATCGCCTCCCAGTCCCTCGCCTCCGATTACGTACGTGCGTTCGGTCACGAAGCTGGAGAGACGCCTATCCTCGCCCCAAAGAAGAGTTCGGACTGGGATACCAAACTTGAATTTCTGGGGTTTACCATCGATTCTCACGCCCTCACTATCTCCGTGCCAGAAAAGAAGGCGCAGGCACTAAAAACAGCCCTGGAAAACGAGTGGCCAAAAGATAGGCGGCAAGCGACCGCACAAGAGGTTTTCAGCATAGCTGGAAAACTTTGGAACATGACGTTTGTGATTCGAGCTGGAAAGTACTTCGTCTGGCGGCTCTTGCGCCTTACAGGCTTGCACACTGCGAACGGTAACCAGAACCACATCGTAGATCTCGGGAAGGAGTTCCACGCTGATCTAGAGTTTTGGCGATGGGCGATCCAGCATGAGCTCGTAGCTGCGGGGGAATCCCTGAGCGCCCCGTGTTTCGTACAACTTGCGCGCCCACCGAAGAGAAAATACTTATCCGATGCCAGCTTCGACGCCATAGGCGGCTACTGCACAGAACTTCGAACGTACTGGAGGTACGACCTCCCACTAGACTTTTCGGCAGAACTAAAACGCAAGGCCGCGTGCCGCGAGACGAGTAGCGTGACGATCAATCTGCTTGAACTTGTCGGGATGGTCATGACGGCGTGGGTGATGCACGAATTAGTGGGGGACCGCCCAGAAATCAGGGGTGACCCGATCCTCATGCGCGGAGACAACTTCGCTGCAGTTTCCTGGTCAAACCGATGCGGGGGCGCGAGAGACAAGCGCGCCGGCCTCATGATGAGAACAATGGGCCGGTTAGAAATCAGGGGGGGTTGGAGATACGACGCAAAACACATCCCGGGTGTTGAGAACACACTAGCGGACGGCATCTCCCGATGGCCCCGCGCAGAGCTAGCTGAGAAAGTGAGGCAGCTGACTAACACAGATGACTGGCGCGAACAGTCGATCGGGGAATCAGGAGAACGCCTCTGCGAGATAGTACTGCAGACAAAGAACATTACCACTCGCCACGATAACATGTTGTGGAAACTGCTTACCGCCGAACAACCCTCACACGCCCTCACGAGAACCGTACCCCTTTCCTAAAAATCACTAGTCATCCACTCGTACTCGCTGGATGCCACAGGAACAGGGAATTGGGGGGGGGGAGGACGGAGGAGGCGACGGCTTTGGTGGATGCAATGGTGCAAGCGTCCGTCGGGAGCGCCACGCACCAGCTCTATGCTGCTAAGTGGAAAGCGTGGACGAAGTTCATGAGTAACAAGGGGATGGGCCCGTGGTTGCACCTCTTGGATGCGGCGGTCGTTATTAATACGTTGCTGGAGTTCATGGCCTGCCGTTTGTTCGCTTTCGACAATCAGCTTTCCACGGTGAGGGGGTACCTGGCCGCTGTAAAGTTTTTCCACAAGCTGCACCTAGGGTGGGAGGTACCAACTTCTCACTGTTTGATTGTGGCGGCGGGGAAGGGGATAGCAAGAATTCGCGGGGGCGTCGGAAAAAAGGCCCAAGTAAGGTTGCCCCTCACATGGTCGATGCTAGCCCAGGGTTACCTCACTGTCTCAGAGTTCAAGGAAGGAGGGCGAGTGATGTGGCTGGGTCTAGCCTTGACCTATTTTCTGCTTTGCCGTGCGTCCGAATTATTCGCGTACGCGGACGGGTTAGTGCACCCGGAATTCTGCCTGACACGCAACAGTCTGACTTTCTACCGGGGAACAGAGCGGGTGGGCATAGAGGACCGAGCCCTGGCTGATTCCGTGCAGGTGGATTTCATTGCATCGAAAGGGGATCAGAACAGAGATGGTCGTTCAATCACCCGCGGGCGTAGCCCACTAGGACCCGACGGGGAGGTACCGGTAGGCGCGTTCGAGGCGGTGGTGGCTATCCTGGACGTGCACCCCGAACTCCCGGGAAATGCACCTCTGCTGACCAGGCAGACGCCGAGCGGTTGGCGAGTGATTACTAGAACCGAAGGGGTAGCAGCGTTGAGAGTGATGGTGGAAAGCATTGGCTTGAACCCTGCACACTTCGCGTTGCACTCGGGAAGGATCGGCGCTGCAACTCAGATGGCAGCGCAGGGCCTGTCGGCGTTGCAAATCCAACACGCCGGCAGGTGGAAGTCACAGGCGTTCATGGTGTATGTCAGGGATACGGGGGCGGAGGGCGCCAAAGAGGTGTGCAGAAGGGAGAAGGAAAAGTAAGCAACGGCCTCTGCCTGCGACATGGAGAATGAGAGTCAAGTAGCCTCCGCTGGGCGGGGGTTACTTTTATGCCAGGTTGGCAGAGTCCGTAAAAATTAGGAGAATACCGTGAGACGTGTAGAAGAATGGTACCCACGATGAGATGGGGTATGTATTTTTTGAGGTCAACACGGAGTACGTTTTCCCGATTAACCTCGGCATAGGGTAGAAAAATAATACCAGAATTCTTGAGCAATAACCAAATGTGTCTTTATAGCGGGGAGTTTCCTTAAGAAGAGTGTCTTTAAAGCGGGGACGACTGTATGTTGGTGGATGTGATATGAACGGATTCCACCTCGGGAAAAAACGCACGAAACAAACGTGTTTCGCCAAAAAACCGTGTTTCGAGGTTCCGCCGCGCCTTTTCTTACGAATTTCTGCAGTCCAGCTGGTCTGTTTTTTTTTCATTCGGTGCGTTTTTTTTTCCGCGTTTGAAAAAAACGAACTTCATGCGCGCACATGCACACATCCACCTTACCGCACGACACGTACTCCGAGAGCACAGCTATCAATCCCTGAGGCAATTGGTATTNAAACGTGTTTCGCCAAAAAACCGTGTTTCGAGGTTCCGCCGCGCCTTTTCTTACGAATTTCTGCAGTCCAGCTGGTCTGTTTTTTTTTCATTCGGTGCGTTTTTTTTTCCGCGTTTGAAAAAAACGAACTTCATGCGCGCACATGCACACATCCACCTTACCGCACGACACGTACTCCGAGAGCACAGCTATCAATCCCTGAGGCAATTGGTATTGAACCGGCACGCGTTGGGGTCATTTCCGGTGAACGTTTGTGTTTAAAAGAACGTGCTGGGGGCGTGCGTGGTGGGCGTGGTTGGGACAGCTTTTCACCCGCACCAGTGACCGCGGTAGCCGCTTCTCCTACGGCGGACTTCGTGTGCATCCCCGCCCCTTGAGGGAGGTAGCGAGTCATCAGTCACACCAGCGGTCAAGTGCTTGGAAGTCAGGGTTAGCACAGTTCACCCGGCGGCGTGGTTCGAGTTGGGAGCGTGGTGTTGGTAAACTCGTGGCTTCTGGGGAAACGATGTTTCATTGTTGAGACCTTGGACCAGGAGAACAGGTCAAAAGGTGAAGTGAGCAAGGGTGGGGAGCACCACAGCACCGCAGCACCGCAGCCACCACCCGTGTCGCTCGACCAACGCACAAAAGCAAAACACAATTACATCGGAACACAAAGACTCAACAGCCAGGGGCTGACGTACTTCACAACGCACCATGAATCCTCTGACTGATGCACTATCCACAAGAAACACACTCGGGGTAAAGCACCATCCACGAAGAATATCCCCACAGAACGTTCCTTGCTGTTCTGATAATATGTGGCTACTCAACGATCTTCAACGCAGACAGTCCCGCAATGCAAACTGTCCAATCAAGTTGTTCTACGTCACTCTGTGGACACATACAGCAGCAACTATCACGAACACGTGGTTTGAGTTGGGAACGCATTGGAGTTGTCGCATTGCCACTACCGCCAGGACGAAGAAAAGCTCCTCCTCTCCAGCCACCGCACACAGCAGAGCCGCCGTAATCATCTGCATGATTTGGCCATGCCTCCCATGCCGAATCTTACCACGCTGTAGGTGCGCCATTTGCTTCAGGACGTCAACGCGCGTGCCAACATCACGCCAAGTCACGCCGCCGCGNAGCCACCGCACACAGCAGAGCCGCCGTAATCATCTGCATGATTTGGCCATGCCTCCCATGCCGAATCTTACCACGCTGTAGGCGCGCCATTTGCTTCAGGACATCAACGCGCGTGCCAACATCACGCCAGATCACGCCGCCGCGTGTTCCTTGTTTGCGGAAATTAAAAAAAACTTACCAAATCATATTCCTCGCGTTAAATGCATACCAAACTGGAAATACACGTGTAAAATGGATGGAGATCCACAACCAACAGGGTGCCACACATAAAACACCC